TATTGATGAGGAATCCGAAACGCAGAGGTTAAATGACTTGCCCAAGGTCACAAAACTATTAAGTGTCCAAACCCTGCTCTCTGTTTTGGACCTTTAACAAGTCCTCTTGCCACTAAATGCTTTCGTAATCATGTGTGCAAAATAGAGATTACATTGATCTATGATGTTGTGTTAACATACTGCAAATGTTGAAAACAAATGAGTGTAAAGCATTTTGTAGATGTTCTGTAGAAATGAAAGTGAGCATTGTTTTATTATTATTTCTAATGTAATTAAAACAGGAATTAACTGCTTTAAGGACTTACTACATTTTTTTAGTATTCTTTGGCCCTTGATGACCATTTTGTTTGTTAACTAAGCCATGTGTTTCCCTGAGGGCCTGGCCAATGACACACAGTCATTGAATGAGGCACCTGCTTAAACTCAGCCTGGTCTGCGTCATAACCAGAAGCACTAATTGACTTACTAGCTTTTTAGGTGAAGACTTTGAAAAATTTTGTTTGTTTTTCTCTGGACCAAGTGCTAAGATACTGCATTTATTTTATTTTATATTTTTGGTAAGGATATATGATTTCTATTCCCATTTGTGGCATTCATTCAGAATAATATTTATTGAGCACCATATGCTGTGCAAACTGTGTGATCTTGGTTAAGTCATTTAATCTCACTGGGCTTCAGTTGGTTCAACCTCTACCTTCATTCCTTAACTGCAGAGTGGACTAGATTAGAATTTCTTATATTTTGAGGAAATATGTTGGGGGATAGGGGCTTGGGGACTCAGGACAGGCTGGAGGAGGCTAGAGGGAGGTGGAGTACCTGGTGAAGTTGTGGGCAGGTCCCTCTCCAACTAACCTCACCCTCCGTTGCACCAAAGCAGCTGCACTTCTGTTCATTTTGTCTGTCTACAGAGGCTTTTCAACCAATTGTCTTTCTTCCTCAGCTGTGGCCTTCTATCCCTTTTTTCATTTATACCCTAATCCTTTTAAGTCTTAGACTCAGAGAATGATGGAGGATATTGTTGGGATGTAGTGTCTAAACAAAAGGGGGAAGAATATGAAGGGAGAAAGAAAAAAAATGGAAGAGAACTAAAAGAAATCTTTCATGGGGGAGATGGAAAGAAGAAAAAATATGGATTGACAAGGGAAGTGGGACAAGAAGGAAAAGAAATGAAAAGCAGATGAAGTGAAGGAAAATGTTATATTTGCCCCCTGAAGTTCATTACTTATTTAATAATCATCCTTCAGGTACCTGTGCATATGAGTTTAAGTTCAGTGTGCCTGTGGTTTTTCTTTCATTAATATTTTCCTTTGATTGCCTCAGTTGTTTTGTTTCCCTAGTATTTCTTCATCTATTAATTGATTTGGGATGAGCAAAGAAAAAAAAGCCTTGTGTTAAAAATTTCTATTTCTACTGTGATTCAAATATAGATTTTCTCTTTATTTAATCTGTCTTAATGTTTGAGAAAAGTGAGGTGCTAGTCTCTTTTCCTGGTAGAAAATAAATATCATGTATACTATTTCAGAGAGTCATGCATGGCTACCTGACATTTGTCATTTTAATTTTAATTTTCTTTAAGGTGCTGATGGTACACACATGGATGGTGATCAAATTGTTGTGGAAGTACAAGAAACTGTTTTTGTTTCAGATGTTGTGGATTCAGACATAACTGTGCATAACTTTGTTCCTGATGACCCAGACTCAGTTGTGATCCAAGATGTTATTGAGGACGTTGTTATAGAAGATGTTCAATGCCCAGACATCATGGAAGAAGCAGATGTGTCTGAAACTGTCATCATTCCTGAGCAAGTGCTGGACTCAGATGTAACTGAAGAAGTTTCTTTAGCACATTGCACAGTCCCAGATGATGTTTTAGCTTCTGACATTACTTCAGCCTCAATATCTATGCCAGAACATGTCTTGACAAGTGAATCTATACATGTGCCTGACGTTGGACATGTTGAACATGTGGTTCATGATAACGTAGTAGAAGCAGAAATCGTCACTGATCCTCTGACAACCGATGTAGTTTCAGAAGAAGTATTGGTAGCTGACTGTGCCTCTGAAGCTGTCATAGATGCCAATGGGATCCCTGTGGACCAGCAAGATGATGACAAAAGCAACTGTGAGGACTACCTTATGATCTCCTGTAAGTTTTGGGGTAAATTGATTCAAAGGGGTTTTTAAAGGCTGACTTTTCTAGTTCACATCAGGGGTAAAATTTTCTTTTTTCTTTTTTTTTTTTTTAATGCATTTTATTGAAATATAATTTATGTACAGTGAAATACACAAAACTAAAGTGACATGCATCAATGTGGTTTTTTTTTGGCACTGTTCTCTCCCCTCCCCTCCCACCCCTTGGCAACCAACAAAGAAAGTTTTCCTCCATATATAAACCTTTCCTTGACCCTCTACAACAATGAGCTCATACTGTATTTGTCCTTCTGTGATTGACTTATGACATTCAGCATAATGTCCTACAAGTTCATCCATATT